TATGACAGAACCATTTCCATCACAGGTTGCAAGAAGGGAGTATTAAAGAATAATTAAATTGGAAATGGCGGCAGTATAAGGATGAAACTGAAGCAAAGAGATCACCGCAGGAATAAAATTGGATCTAATTTATCCAGGAGACAGAGAAGGAAACAAGTGAAATGTACTCTTAAGAAAAAGCCAAATGAAGTGAATCTTCATACAGTTCTGTCAACAGCTCCCTAAGGGTAGGTTCTGTCTAGCTGCATCTACACTGCTGAGCAGCTGCAAGAACCAGCAAAGTGAGGGAAGGTAATCACATTGGAAATAAACAGCGTTGCATGCATACCACAGGTGTCTGTATTTTAGCAGCTGGATTGATAGGGCTGGCCCTTGGGGCTAAAATGGTTTTAGAATTAATACTGTCTTGGAAACAAGCGGGAACTGTTAACAAACTACATGCTCCAAATCTGTGTGCAGGCACTTTGAAATTTAAAATCTAACAATGCAGTATGAAGCAAAAGTAGAAGGAGCCTCTAATAAATGCTAAAAAAGGAAAGAAGATCAGTTATTGCTTCACCCAAGGGGGGCTGAGCCTTAGCACACCACAGTGTTCTATTTATTTATTTTGCTTGGAAAGCCTATCAGAGTAATCTTATGCAAGTTTCACACATTATGCCCAAAGTCCAGGATTCCGTTTCCCAAAGTGGCTAGAAAGCCTTTAAGTAGGGTGTGGAGACAATAGCTCTCTTGAACCATAGCGTTTATAATTGTATACACTGTTTTCCTGGGACATTGCAGCGAAAAGCTGGTAAGAAATATGGTAAATAAATTCCCTCTTCAGCAACTGACATTGAACTGTAGCCTGTTGCTGCGAAACCTTAGTGTCTAGTATATGCGAATAGACATTCTCCATGAATTTGTTTGAATTCTTTCCAAAGCTAGCTAAGCTAGTGCCTTTGCCACATTTCACAGCAGCGAATTCCATAAATCTGTTATGATCTGTGTGAAGAAGTGCTTCCTTTTGCATGTCCTGAATGTACTGCCAACCGACTTCATTGGGTAAATCCATGGCTGGCTTCCTGTTTTGGATGTATTTATAGAAATGTTTGCTGTTTTGCCCCTGTATTCTTAACGATGGGTTCCTCACATATTGTTCTTCTTGTTGTTTTCTTGCTCTATTGTTAAATTGCATTTGTTTTGCCAGGATTCTTTCTTATTTGAGTGACACTTCCACATCTTTAAGGAAGCCTTCTTGCTTTTTATAGCTTCCTTGGTTCTGCTCTTGCTGGCAAGCTGCTCAGCTACCTTTTCTAAAGTATGGTGTGCTCAGCTTCTATTGCTACAGCTTTAAATAACCTCCAGGTACCCTGAAGACATTTAGAGACATAGAATCGTGGAGTTGGAAGGGATTTCGGGGGTCATCTAGTCCGACACCCTGTAATTGAGGATTCCCAACTAAAGCACCTATGACAGATGGCCATCCAACCTCTGCTTAAAAACCTCCAAGGAAGGAGAGTCGTCCACCTTCCAAGGGAGTCCATTCCACTGTCAGTAAACTCTTACTGGCAGAATGTTCTTCCCCATGTTATCGTAATCTCCTTTCTTTTAACTTGAATCCATTGGTATGGGTCCTATACTCCAGAGCAGGAGAAAACAAGCTTGCTCCATCTTCCATGTGACAGCACTTGAAATATTTGAAGATGGCTATCATATCTCCTCTCAGTCTCCTCATTTACAGGCTAAGCACACCCAGATTCTTCAACCGTTCCTCATAAGGCTTGGTTTCCAGACCCATCATCTTGGTTGCCCTATTCTGTACATGTTCCAGCTCGTCAATATCCATCTTAAATTGTAGTTCCCAGAACTGGACACAGTATTCCAGGTGTGGTCTGACCAAAGCAGAACAGAGTGGGACTATTACTTCCCTTGATCTGGACTTCTGTTGATACAGCCTAGACTAGCATTAGCTTTTTTTGCTGCTGCAGCACACTGTTGATTCATGTGAAGCTTGTGGTCTACTAAGATCCCTAGGTCCTTTTCGCATGTAACCAATCACAAGCCCAATATCCCCCATCTTATCCATCTTTGTTTTTTCTTTTTTTTTTAAAAAATATTTATTAAAGTTTCAAAAGTTATATAAAAGAAAAAACAGTAATACAAACAAAACACAAACAACAACAAGTATAATTTCAGTCCCTTATTTTCTTATAACTTACTTCCCCGACCTCCTCATACCTCCCCTTTCTGTATTCCAATTTCTAATTCATTAGTTCAGCAAATCCTCTCCCTTGATTTTACTTAATTTTTGACCTTTCTTTTCTTTTTACTTAATCATTACAGCTGACAACCACTTAATTTCTAAAATCAACATCGTTCTAACATTCATTAATTTTGCAATGTTTCCTGAGATAGTCTTTAAGTTTCTTCCAATCTTCTTCCGCCGTCTCTCTTCCCTGGTCACGGATTCTGCCAGTAATTCTGCCAGTCCCATATAGTCTATCACCTTCATCTGCCATTCTTCCAAGGTGGGTAGATCTTGAGCATCTTATCCATCTTTGACCTACTAGGCTTTCCCTTTAACTCATTTGTATATTTTATTTTGTAGAAGTTTTGTCATTTGAAATTGAATGCATCTGGAAATTGGAAATTTTCCTTTTACATATATACCTAATTTGATAGCCCTGTATTCACAAAGCCCTTGCTTTGCCAACACTTATTTCTTGCCCTGGGCACTGCTCAGCATTAAGTCCAGGGTCACTTTCTCTCTCACACACACACTTTTATTTATTTATTTATTTATTTATTTAAATACAAGCCACACTTTCATAGAAAATAAACTACATCTCCCATCAGCCAGATTGGCTGGGGCTGATGGGAGCTGTAGTCCAAAGCATTTGGAGGGCACCAGGTTGGCAAAGCAAGAACATGTCTAGAAGAGCAGCAATGCTTGGGATGCTGGAAACTGCAGCCAGACTGGCCTTCGTGCCCTGGGTGCATATGTGCTAATTAACAATTGAAATGTCCCTGTGGAAGCAAAGTTAATTAATGGGAGCACAAGATGTGCAGTTTCAGTTGCTGTGTTTTGACAATCTCTCTCCTCTGAGAGGCTGCAAATTCCTAACTGTATGTGAGCTGAAATAAAGGAGACCTGAGTCTGCCCCAGCTAAGGCACTGTTATTCCCTGGGCCCCAGAGGTACAGCCCAACCAATGACACATATTTTACATTGAAATCTAAGTCTTAATCTGAGATGATTCTCTGAGAAGAATCCTAGTCTTGCCGTCTAGCTGCTCCAAACAGCTGATAATCTATCATGCTTATTAGTTTTGTTGTGGGGTGGGGGCGGGGAACCCCAAGGGGAAAGCAAAGCTGGTTTGAGGCAGCTGCAGGCAGCAACCATCTGCTAATGTTTTTAGAATGAATCATTTCTCAGGTAAAGGCCAATGAAAGGTGGCCTGACTAGAATGCAGGCAGCCTGAGAGGAAGCTGAGTGATGAGCTCATTGTTGCTTTTAATAGATTGTGTTTATAATTTGAAGATAATGTCTCTCTAGCTTTCAAGGATGCTTTCACAAAACCACAAAATTGGCCCCAAGTGATCTTGAATCTGAGGCTTCCTGAAGCAGCCATAAACTAGAGACAAAGAGACAACTGAGTTTCAATATGGGTGGTCAACTTCAGTGTGCTTGAAGTGTGTATTTGGAGGCTGATGTTGGGGACATAGATGTATCCAGATTGCATTTGCAATTGCTTCTTTCAGATTAGGAAGCAGCCACTTCGTGTGGTGGCATTTTGTGCGATTCCAAATCATTATGTAGTATTTCATGGCATTTGTATGCTGCCCATCTGGGCAGCTTCCAATAAACAAGACTTATTTTCATTTAAATGCAAAATGAGACATAAAACCAAAGCCTTGCATAAATAAAACAAAAACAAAAGTTTCCACAACCCAAAAAGTTAAAACACAGATTTAAGAACTGAGAGGCCCAGACTGCAAGTTGTTTGAGTGAACAGAAAGGTTTGAGTGAACAGAAAGGTCTGCAGGAAGCTGCTGCAGCCAAGCAGAATCTGTTGAAGCTCGGACGTTTGGGTTCCAAAAAAAGTTCGCAAACCGGAGCAATCACTTCCGGGTTTGTGGCATTCGGGAGCCAAAACGTCCGAGTTCCAGGGCATTCAGGATCCAAGGTATGACTGTAGTCCAATTGGGAGATAACCAGAGCATGCCCCATTCTGGTGAGACAGTCTGCGGGCAGGTAGGGTCTTAGCCGGCATATCAGATGGAGCTGGTAGACAGATGCCCTAGACACAGAATTGACCTCTGCAGGGTCAGTATTGGGCTATCATTACCAGGCACCTGCCAAGGGCCAAACCTTACTTATCATGGGTCTATTGCTGGCCATGCTCCTCATCCTCCTTATTGCTGTTGCTGGCCTGGCCATGTTGGCTGCCCTGGCCATGCTCCTCATCCTCCTTATTGCTGTTGCTCCCATTTTACCTGTCATCTACCAGCCTGCAAACCAGAAGAAGGTGCAACAATTTATCCTTGCTCTGTCCTCTCCTTTTGAGCAGACATACCGTAAATCAAAGTCAATGAGCAATGGTGTGGAGGTGGGTGCTCTGAGAGCATATTTCCCAAGCCCCCCCCCCTGCCCACCTAAATCTGGAGCTGGCACTACCAGCCAGGGTCCAGTACCAGAAGTTGAAAGCACATACACTTTTCTGTAGAATCAAAACTCTGCATTTAAGCACATGGAACTGCTGCTGTTGTGTTACATTGGACCCTAAAAGTCCATTCCAGGCCTGCTAAATATAGATCCATCTCATCAGATGAGAAATAAGCTCTAACCCAAAGTTGGATGAACTGCTCCGGAATGGAACACTGGATATTTTTTTGGGAAATATCTCATTGCAATGGGGCTTGGATTTCCTCCTCTGAGTTTGGATTGCAGTGCCCAAGTACACTGCTCTCTAATCTGGCTGACTTCCTCAATGGACTGTTTTTCCTTCCTTCCCAATCCAGATCTTGTTGTCACCTTGCTACAGAAGGTACAATGAACAAGATGAAAACTTTCAAGCGGCGTTTTTCCCTTTCGGTTCCCCGGACAGAAACGATTGAGGAGTCACTGGCAGAGTTCACCGAGCAGTTTAACCAGCTCAACAACAGAAAGAATGAAGGTAAAAAAATAACAGGGGTCAGCAGCACTGAATGGGAGGTGATGGGGAGCAGGTGCCAAAGCCCATCTCAGGCAGCTGAAGTTCCCAGAGACAATAGGTCTCCATACAATTGGGAGTAGTGCATGCTTGGTGGTGATTATGGTTCCATTTCATTTAGTTTACATGAATAAATAAATAAATCTCTCGGTTTCTGAGGTACAGAGGTGGGTGTGGATCCTTATATAGGCAAAATGGCACTGTCCACACAAAAATAATATTGGCATTAATCCACTATAGAGGTAGCAGAGCCTAGGGCTTGCCAATCGGAAGGTTGGCGGTTCGAATCCCCGTGACGGGGTGAGCTCCCATTGCTCGGTCCCTGCTCCTGCCAACCTAGCAGTTCAAAATCACGCCAGTGCAAGTAGATAAATAGGTACCACTCCAGGTGGGAAGGTAAACGGTTCGCCAGAAGCGGCTTAGTCATGCTGGCCACATGACCTGGAAAAACTGTCTGCAGACAAATGCCAGCTCCCTCGGCCAGTAAAGCGAGATGAGCGCCGCAACACCAGAGTCGTCTGCGACTGGACTTAATGGTCAGGGGTCCCTTTACCTTTACATCTTCTAGAAACATACCGTATTTTTCTCTCTATTACACGCAGATTTTTTCTCCTAAAAAGGAAGGGGAAATGTCTGTGCGTGTTATGGAGCGAATGTGGGGGTCCCTGGAGCCGATTAGGGGAGCGCAGGAACAAAAATCAGCAAAAATCAAAGCGCGTTGTGTCGGAGAAGGGAAACCTGAAAAGAGGAAGTGGTTGCTTTCCTGCATTCTGCCTCAGGGTCTTACTGCCCACCCTCCTCTGTTTCGTTGCTGTGTTTGCTCAAACGGAACAAAGAGCAGGCAAATCCCCTCCCCTCCAGGCAAGCAGAGGGGAAAGCAGAGGTCTTTCCTTTTAATTCCTCTCCGTGCTCCTCGCAGGCAGCCAGAAAACATGCAGGAGGAGAGAGAAAGCTGGCTTCAGTTTGTGGAAACTTTTGCCTTTTTTTCTCCCTCCCGTTAAATCCCTCTCCTGCTTTCTTAGCCAGCTGCTTCTCTGCACACCGCTCTCTTGTCCCTTCTGTGTTTTTCCTTCACTCCCCACTTAAAATGTAGTTACAAAGCATGGATCCACATGGATCCTCAGGATCTTTGCATTGGGCCACCCCAAATTCACCATCAGATCACATAGCAGCCTGCCCCCCTAAAATCACACACCCACTGTTGCCTGGGGCTGCAATGGTGCAAAAACGTGGTTAAAAAGCATGGATCCACATGGATCCTCAGGATCTTTGCATTGGGCCACCCCAAATTCACCATCAGATCACATAGCAGCCTGCCCCGCAAAAATCACACACCCACTGTTGCCTGGGGCTGCAATGGTGCAAAAATGTGGTTAAAAAGCATGGATCCACATGGATCCTCAGGATCTTTGCATTGGGCCACCCCAAATTCACCATCAGATCACATAGCAGCCTGCCCCCCCAAAATCACACACCCACTGTTGCCTGGGGCTGCAATGGTGCAAAAACGTGGTTAAAAAGCATGGATCCACATGGATCCTCAGGATCTTTGCATTGGGCCACCCCAAATTCACCATCAGATCACATAGCAGCCTGCCCCCCAAAAATCACACACCCACTGTTGCCTGGGGCTGCAATGGTGCAAAAATGTGGTTAAAAAGCATGGATCCACATGGATCCTCAGGATCTTTGCATTGGGCCACCCCAAATTCACCATCAGATCACATAGCAGCCTGCCCCCCCAAAATCACACACCCACTGTTGCCTGGGGCTGCAATGGTGCAAAAACGTGGTTAAAAAGCATGGATCCACATGGATCCTCAGGATCTTTGCATTGAGCTACCCCAAATTCACCATCAGATCACATGTCTGTGGCCACAGCATGAAGCACAAAAATGATACATCCACTGTTTCATTCAGAATTTTTTTCCTTGTTTTCCTCCTCTAAAAACGATGTGCGTGTTATGGCCAGGTGCGTGTTATAGAGCGAAAAATACGGTAAGTTGTATAAAATAGAATGTTGAGAGGCAAAATAATTTAGAACCATCATGCAGAGGAAGTGAGTTTTCCATTCTATTGCTTTGCATGAGTTTATTCAGATTTTTGCAACTGGAAGGAAAGCCACTGCCAGAGTAAAAAAAAATTACTCTACCTTCTAGCAGGTAAATTATAGAGATTTTACTGTCATTTACTAAGAGAGGAAGCATGGGTTTTCTAACTTCCTCATAAGGCAATTAGTAATGAGGAAGATCCTCTGTCTCACCATAGCAGGGACCCAGACTTTTCCCTCTGTATGCAAATGGGTTTTCAAAATGACAGTACAATAAAACAACAATTTATAGGCCCTCTTATTTGTCTTGTGCCTGGAACCATTAGCAGTAAGAGAGATCCGGATGATTCAGGGTATAAAAGTGAAAAACAATGAATACAAACTAAGTCTATACATAGATGGCATTGTGGTGACCTTAACTGATGCGGTCTGTGAAATTAATGGAGCTAGAGGTAGCTGAAAATGGAAAATTAGCTAGTTAAAAATAAAGACAGAGAAATGCAAACAATTGGAATTAATCTGCAAAAGAGACATCTGGTGTCCTCCAGATCACTTGGACTACAACTCCCATGCTGCCTGCAGCTGTTGAGAGCCAACATTGTCCTGGTTGGAGCTGATGGGAGTTGTAGTCCAAAACATCTGGAGGCCACCAGGCTGGTGAAAGCAGGGCTAGCCTATCATTTAAACAACAGGCAAAGTAAGGTACTTTGAGACACACTTGAATGGTAGAAAAGAAGAACTATGTACAAATAGAAGGAATGTGTTTTGATGTCAAATCCCTAACAGGACAATAGCTACAGTTGCATCTGCCATTTTCAATATGGTTTTCTTCTGTAAATACGGTTTTATTATCTCAGATTAGCTTATTGTTTCAAGTGCTGCCCACACAGCTGGAAGATAACCACATAAAGAAATAGCAGGAGCTTTCTCTCCAATTTTTATAGGAAAGAATGAGAAACATAAACCAAAGGAAACAATAGCACAATATGCGAAGAAAGGGAAAGGAATGGAAAACTTTGATCTTCAGTTGTGTTATCAGAGCAGTTGTTTACAGACAGTTATGGATTGGATCTTGATGTGTTTATTTATTAGATTGGGTTTTGTTTTATTTGTTTATTTGTTTCCACATTAGTGCGTCAGGCACCCTACAAAGATAGAAAGATATACAAGACAAAATAATATGTTGTTGTGTTTTTTTAAAAAAAGCAGATAAAATCATTCCAAGTACAATAAAAACAGAGTGGCAGATGGTTATGCCCAGCTAAAATCCCCATAAGGAAGGCTGAGTACTCATATCATAGGCCAAAAGTCTCCTCTTTAAAAAGGTCTTTGCCTGACAGCAGAAGGTTAATCAATGAAGGGGCAAGACCAGCTTTCCAGGGAAGGGGATTCGGGGGGGGTGGATACTGAAAAGAACCTCTCTTAACCCTTCCAGATGGGCCTCAGATGGGCCCCATAAGATCTTAAAGCCAGGGTGGACTTACGTGGAAAACAATAGTTCTTCAGCTGCCCTCATCTTAATCTGTGTGTGTCCTTACAAGTCATAACCAGCACTTTGAATTGTGACCAGAAACTGACCAGCCGCCAAGAACATAAGAAGAGCATTCTGGATGAAGCCAGTGGCCCATTTCGTCCAGCATCCTGTTCTTCATGAGGTGGCCCAAGCCATTTTACTGCCTGAGGCAAAGGACAAGGTGGTGCATTCCCCATTCTGCGCACAAAATCTCCCTAGACTGGTAACTGAATCTTACTTCAGCACTGGTCTCAACCCTTGAGGGACTCTACTTTCTATCTCTCTCCATCAGAGAACTGTCTATTAATTCCTACTCTCTGCTTTCTGCTATTTCTCCAGTTCCTGATCCACGTCTGGATCTCTCCTCTTATTCCATGACTACTAAGCTTACTCGAGAGTCTTTGGTGAGGTGCCTAGTTGAAAGCTTTTTGAAAGTCCAAGTATGCTATGGCAACCAGACCACTTCTGTTTAACTCATACAGATACAAGAGACAGGACTTGCCCTTGCAGAAGTCATTCTGGCTCTGCTTCTTCTATATGCTTGGCTATTTGATCTTTAACAATACCACCCATTTAAGCAGAACAGACATTAAGCTAACCAGCCTGTAATTTCCAATTTAAAAATTGGTGTGTCATTAGCTACTTTTGACATTGTCAAAATTTATGAGCTATATTTGCATAATAGAGAGAAGACAAACTCTAGCTTTGTTCAGAACTGGTCAATTAAATACTATAAAACCAATCACACTCCTCAATGAATAGAATATATGCTTTTGATTTGTTCTTGTTTGATTATAGTGGAATCTAATTGTTGAGGGGCTAATCTTGCATCTTTTTCAGATGTCTTAAGCTGCATATCTGTGCACAGTTACCTGAGAGTAAGCCCATTTAACTTAGTGGGGCTTACATTTGAGTAGATATGATTGCACTATTAATATATTGATTTTTAAAATTTTGTATTAAAATGCAGTGCCCATTATTTAAGAACATGGATTGTCTCCTGTTTCCTGGCTAAAACATCCTGCTCAAGTTTATGGTTTAGTCTACAGTAAGCCTGTAGTGTTGTGTTCTGGGCATCACACCTAAAGCCGAAATTGTATATAGTCAAAACCCATTGGGTTCAATGGCAAGTGAGATTGCCAACATCATTTCCCACAGAATCCTATCCCTTTTCATATATTTTTTGCCACACACGTAAAGCTGAATGTGTACAAGTTAAATGTTCTTAAGTTGCGGGCTTATTGTATTTGCAAACAACAAGAGAAGAGTGGGGTTTGGCTAAACTTGGACTATATACAGCATTACAAGGTAGTAGCTTTGGACTCTGCAAGGAGCTTCGTACCAAATGATTTCACTTCCAGGTACCAGCACCATATTTCTGTTACTTTTATTCTGATTTTG